TGAGTTCTTCTGTGTCATCACGTTCTATTAGTTCTACAGCTTCAGTTTCGGAACTTTCACGCTTAGTAACACATACAGCTGTTCCCTCACCACAGTGCAACAGTGAAAAGGAACCCCTTTCAAACAGTGTCGCGTTCCGAACGTTGTTTAAGCGACATTTTAAAAATTCATATCATTACAAAAATAAACACCGGTATTCGGTATGAACCGGTATACCGCCCAGCACTAATATATATATATATATATGCTGTTAAAAATAATAATTTAAACAAACCTTAAAACATCTTAAAACATTTTTCTTTGTAGCAGTTACAGTATTTCCGATCCACCTTTATAGAAAGATAAACTCACCTGTGTGGGTGAATACTGGTTTTGAAATTGTCTCTCCAGCCAATAGCAGCGATTCTGGAGCTCACTAACAGTCTGCTGTGAGTCTCTGAGCATCTTGGAAATGGTGCTTAACTGGGAGGACACCCCTTCCTTTTCCTCAATTGCCTGTTGCAACTAGTACATATACAAGGATAATAACACATGCACAGATATAAAATAAATTAATTCATGGCAGTAAATATAACACTTTATTTTGTTTTCCAGATGGAACATTTGGATGCATACCTTGATGTTGAGTTGTTGGAGGCTAAACTCCCTTTGCTGGACCTCTCGCTGGCAGTGCTGCAGATGGCTATGCAACTGGACCCAGTGTTCTTGAGACACATCTTTACCCTGCAAAGCCATGGACTCCTGAAGATACACAGACAAAAGCAACTCATTTTTCTGAGTTTTATGTAAAACAATGTGAAACGAGTGCTGGGACCAAAATAGCCAAAATCTCCCTGAAAAATTAAAATGTTGCTGCATCATCATTCACCTACTCAAACTATGGCCTAAAAACGTGTACTCTTTTTGTCAAGAAAAAAGTACATACTTTTGAGTGTGTAGTAGAATAATAGGCAAGTTTTGGGATATAATAACCACATCATAATTGCATTTTAATGGATCACTTTGTCGCACAGTTAAGTGCATCATTCTGTCACAGTTAACATCCTCGTATACCATTTTCATCAGGTTACATATTGTAGCACCCCCCTTTTATCTAAATCTCCTTTACTGTCATTAGAATTTCCTTTCTCAAACCTGAACACTTGCCCAATAGCCTTTCTAGTAAATCTCTGCTTTTTACAGCATCTAGTTCTTTTTCTTTTTGAGTTAGACAACTCAAAATACTGGAAACCTGCATCAAAGTCTAAACATCAACACAAGATTATTATCTAGATGTTGCCAAGAAAGAATATTCTGACCTTGCATTTGAACAGGACATCAAACATGTTCAACTCTAGATGAGTTGAAATTCTTTTTCTTATTCTTGAATTTCTTATTTCAATTCAATAATTGTTTCACATTTAGCACTAACCAGGATATGGTGTTTCTCTCTCTCCATCGTCTTGTCTTCTTCCACTTTGCTGGATTCCCACTTGTGGTGTTGTAGCTGGTGCTGAATTCTCTGAATCTGATAATTGGAATTTCTGCAGATCTCTTCTTTTTCCAGGACCAATTTACAGATTTCTTCTTCCTTTAATGATTTTTCACTGATAACTTTAAGCAGCTCTTGTTTGGTCAAATCGAATTCCTCTTGAAGTTTCTTGTACAGTTCATCCAGTTTCTGAATTTGCGACTGAGCAGCAAAAGTGACTTGTTCCTTCTCAGTTTGTGTTTCCCTGAGTTGTGTGATCTCTGAGGTTAATTGCTCTGTTTGACAGGTCAGCAGTGAAACTGTGTTTTCCAGTTCAGATGCACTACCTTGCAAGTGCAGACACTTTTCCTTCTCCAGTCTCAATAAAGAATCATTTTCATTAATGATTCTGACGAGATGGTTATTCTTTTCTTGTAAGCTCTTTAACTCCCTTTGAATTTTAGCAATTTCGTCCATTTCTAATTTCAGTCTGGCTTCACATGATTCTGATTGTGCCATTAATGTCTTCTTAACCAGAGAAAACTCTTTATCTTTGTTAAACAGCAACTTATCTTTTTCTTGCAAAGCTGTCTGCAAATTCTGAACTTCTTCATGTAGCTCAGAGATCCCTGTTATTTTCTGGGTGATTTGGCCCTCACTTTCCAACAGTTTGACTTGCATCTTATTTACAGACATCTCCTGTGTCCTAAAAACTTCCTCTTTCCCCTGCAGATTGAATTGTAAAGCTTCAAGTTGAGAGTGTTTGGATTCTAACTGTTCTGCCAAAGATGCCAGTTCGACTCTTTTACTTTCCAATTCATTTTGTAGGGACGTGATCATCTCTTGTTGTCTAAATATTTCTGCCATTGAATTCTTCAGTTCAGATTTAATTATAATGTTTTGGTCATTCATTGCCTGGATATTATCTTGATATTCCACAACCTCTATTTGTTTCTGTCTCATCTCGTCTTTTAATCGTACATTTTCGGTTAAATGCTCCTCTAAAAGGCCTTTTAAATGTGCATTATCAGATTCAAGCTTCGCAATATTTTCATTCATAACACCAAGCTGACTAGTTAGTGAAAGAACCGACTCATTTCTTTTGCACAATTCCTCTGAGTGACCGTGGCATTCAAGATTTGTCTCCCTTAAAGTGCTTTCTTTCACTTCCAAAGTCTGGTTCAGTCTGGACCACTCCATTTTCAGATAGCTTATCTCTTGTTGAAGGGTAAAAACAAGTTCTCTTTCATGACTAAGTTCATTTTGTAGCAAACGACATGAATTTGATTCTTTCTGCAGCAGTGTGTCTTTCTCTGCCAGACCTGATTTATGATTATTAGCTTGTTCTTGAAGAATGGAAATACTATGTTGTAATTGCTTGAGTTGGTGCTGATAAGTTTCCATTTGTGTACTTTGGTCTGTTAAGGTCTTTTCTTTTTCAAAAACAATCTGTTTGTATTGAAGGACTTGAGAAGTGGTGGATTCAAGTTCTCTCCCAAGATGATCTACTTCCTCTTTGGTCTCCCTGAGACATTTTGAGAGGGCTGCACATTCTAAAGACTTTTCCTGTAAGGTCTCAGCTCCAGACTGCAGTTTCTTTTCAATATTTTTGCGTTCCTCTACTTGCAAAAGCAAATCTTCCTTTTGCTTAAGCAAGCCTTCTATGATTTTACGGTTTTCCGCATCTCGTGTTTCAAAAATCAAGATTTTGTTTTGTAGATTCTCCCTCTCCTTGGTCGTTTCTGTGAGTAACTTCATCTGTTCATTGGTTTGTTTCTGAAGGTACTTATTCTGTTCATCAAGACTAGCAATTTTAGAAGCAAGTTTTTCATTTTCTTCAAGCGTTATTGCAACCCTGTTATTCATTTCAGACGCAACTTGGGCCAGTTTAAGCACTTCTTTTTGTTTCTCTTCAAACATTTCTTGTAATTGTTGATTTTGCCTACTCAATGTCTCATGGAGTCTAACAATGCCGTCTTTTTCTAAAAAAATCTTATCCATTGACTGTTTGTTTTGCTCGAGTTCTTTGTTCAATTCATTTCCTTGGAGTGTTAGCTCTTCCTTATCTCTTTGCAAGTGTTCTATTGTTTTAACACTTTCTGAAAGCTTCTGTTCAACTTCAGATATTTTGCTTGCCAATCTTTTCTTTTCTTCTGAAACACCAGAGAGGGACTGGACACTAGCCTCAATTTCCCTCTTCAATTGACAATTGTCATTAGTGAGACTTTCGACTTGTAAAAGCAAGTTGCAATTCTGATCTTGCACAGCTTGCAATTGCTCCTTAGCATTATCCAGGTGCTGCTTTTGTCTTGCAAGCTCTCCCAAAGTCTGCTCAAATGATTCCTGAAGTTTCTGGTTGTTAATGTTTACCAAATGAATACTCTCAATTTTATCAGACAAATGTTTCTCAAGGTTTTCTTTGGCTTCATCTCGAAACTTGAGTTCTTTGTTAAATCTATCTCTCTCTGCTACTGTCTCCTCTTGAACGATCTTCAGCTTCTCCTCCAATGAAGATATTATCTTTGACTTGTCTTGTACATCTTGCTTAAGCTGTTCTTGACATTCAACCTGCTCCTCAAGCTTTCTAGAGAACATCAGAAGCTCACTTTTATATTTGCAGACTTCAGCAAGCAACGTATTATGTTCCTCCGGGAAAGAGTCTTTTTCGTGCACTTGTTCTCTATCCAGTAGCTGGTCTTTGAGATTCATATTCAGCTTCTGTATTTCCATGCGGAGATCCTGAATTGTTTTCTTATCCTCTTCTGTTTGCTTTATTAAGTCTTTAATTTCATTACTCTTTGACTCACCATCTTTTCTCGCTACTTTTAGATCAGTTTCAGTCCTCTTCAATTGTTCAATCAGCTGAGGTATTAACACATTAATGAACTGTTGGTCAGAAAGCTGTGGGTCTCTAAAAATTTGAACATCCTGTTCAATTTTAGTCAGCACATCCTCTTTGAACTTCATTTCCCGTTTTAGTTCATGAATTTGCTCCGAGGATTCTGCCGTGCTGGATGTTAGTGCCAATATATCTTTGTCCTTATCAATGACGACATCTTGAAGTCTATCGATTTCACGCTCACAGCTCTGCAAGTCATGAACCAGCTGTGCTCTTTCTTCCAGATGAGCTGCGTTCAGTCTGTCGAGATCATCGTTTGTTTGAACCAGATCGTTCTGTAATGATTCTATAGTTGCGTCTTGTTTCTGGATCTGAAACGAAAATGGAATGGAATGATATGTTAATCAACTTAATCAAATAAATAAATACATACATACATACATAAATAATATATTTTGTCAAAAATGTAATTGTCAAACTTGCACAAATTGGAAAGAAAAAAAAATGCGACATGGAAGCCAGTGAACAATCATGTCTAAGATGTTACCTTGTCTTTCAGCACATTGAGTTTGAGTGTCAGTTCTGCAACAGTTGCTTTCATCTCAGAGTTTTCCTTCTCAAAGTTGCTGCATGTCTTTGTAACTTCAGCCAGCTACACAGCAAGGTAGTCTCAATTACTCAGATGTGATTTAATAACTCACATATACTGTATGTCATATTGTCTTCAATGTGTGACACTGTTCTTGATGCTTGGGTCTGGACTAAACTGAGTTTTAAAATACTAAAATGGATATTGAATGCAAAAAGCTCTCTCTCTCTCTCTCTCTATATATATATATACAGGTGCATCTCAATAAATTAGAATGTCGTGGAAAAGTTCATTTATTTCAGTAATTCAACTCAAATTGTGAAACTCGTGTATTAAATAAATTCACTGCACACAGACTGAAGTTAAAAATACTAAAATGGATATTGAATGCAAAAAGCTCTCTCTCTCTATATATATATATATATATACAGGTGCATCTCAATAAATTAGAATGTCGTGGAAAAGTTCATTTATTTCAGTAATTCAACTCAAATTGTGTATATATAATACACACACACACAAACACACACAGGACATGCATACATTTATTGTCCACTTGAAATATGCGACAGACAGCTGATATAAATGTTAACATGCCCAATCATCTAAATGTGTCGTCTTGTTAAATATATACTCAATATTACAATACATCTCATATGTACCCACATTGTGTTCAGTTTGAAGCAGTTTTTCAGTTGTTTCTTGGTTTTGTTTTTCTTTTGTCTCTAAAGCCTCTCTCAGACTGTCAATAAATTCCAGTTTCTCTGAGGTTCTGGCAAGTGTGTGCTCCTTTTCCATGAGTGAGGACTCCAGACACTCCTGTGTGCTGCTCAGTCTGAGTCAACAGATATGTTAAAAAATTATTTGTCTGGCTATTGAACACAGCATTTGTGTATAAAGAAGATTACCATGGCCACAAAACAGACAAGAATCTGAGTTGGAATGTTTCTGCAATTAGGCCCCAGGACCTAATTTTGAATAATTACCCTTTGAGTTGTTTGTTCAGGCTGGCAACGAGCAGCTGATGCTTTTCTGTGTCTCTAATCTGCTGACTGCGAAGGCTGGCAACCTGTGCCTGCAGGCGCTCAGATTCATTCTGATGGATAGGAAGATGGCAGATCATAACAACAACAATTCAAGCAAAATAGAAAAAACCCACCACACAGCCCAACTGCGTGTCATGTCGTTATAGATAAATGTGGGCTTAAACTAGGGCTGCATGATGATGGCAAAAATGGCAGAATTGCTGATTATTGCCCTCAAATACTGTAATCGCAATAAAGAATACCAATTAATGCACATCCAAAACAAGCTGGAAACTAGTTTGTTGTTGTTTTATTAAAAGTGTTTTCACACTCGAGTCCTCTTTAAAAGAACCAAATTTAGAACCGGTGACATGGCCCAAGAGGTGAACCAATTGAAAAAGGGCCCCGTTCTTTTTACGTTCACACTGTCCCTGTCCCTGAAAAAAGGAATCAGATCCTGTTTTGGTCAACTTAAAGGGACTATGTAGAATTCAGAAACCCTTAGAGACACCTGTTGCTGTTTTTAAATGTTTTTATTATTATTATTAAGCATCATTATTATTATTATTACTTCGTAAAACAACACTGCTACAAATCAGTCAATAGGACGCTGGTCAATAGGGGACACTGCCCCTGTCAAGTTATCCAGAAACGACGCATACTTTAACATGTTTAACCGGAGTTAATTATAATTAAATAATTATGAAATAAAATGTAAAATAATCATGAAATAAAATGATTTTGGTGTACTATACGCCTGGAAGTCATGTTATTTGGTGTGTGAATACATATTTATAGGCTATATTTCCTGTGTGTGGGACGCTTGCGAAACAAGTGTCTACGTAAGTCCTGAAACTTTTGGCAAGCTGGTGGCCAAAGGCTGCTTTCTAATAGGCACATGTCAGATTCTCCATGGGTCACATAAGTTTCTCAGTCTGGTTCTCATGAGAGCACCTGGAGATTTGGTTTGGCGATCACTCTGCGAATAGTGTGACACATTAAATATGACTATAAAAAATAAAATAATTAATAATAGTTAGTATTATTGCACTTTTTATTTATTTTTAAATAAAATAATAAACAAAAACAATAAAGTGTGATACGTTCATATTTTAAAATAAAAAGTGAGTAATAAATTAAAGTACAATTATTCTATAGTCCACTTCAAAATGCAATGCTAATACTTACATTTTCTTTTTCTTCTAAATAAATATAAATATATCACTTATGTGCATCCCTGGCAATAATGGTTACTTTTTACAATTACTGTATACTGTATAGTCCTGGCAGCCATATCCCCGTAATCACAATTATATTTTTTGATTACTTATGCAGCCCTAGCTTAACTCAAACTGTTAAAAACCATTGTTGACACACCCTGTGTGAACTGCACTCTTATTTGTAGTGTGAGTAGGACAGTGTTAAAACAGTACAAACGGTGATAAGTACAGTACAAAGAGAAGTTTCCACGCTCAGTCGTGCTTTTGGAAGCTTACACAAACACACACAAACCTGAGATGCGGACAATGCTCGACCACCTTCATCTATACCAAACGTCGCCTGCGTTAAGAGGAGTGTTGCATATAGTTCACTCAATATACAGGTAATTAACTGGCTATCCAACACTCATAGCGAGATTCAACAAGATTCAAAGTGTCAAAAACCGTTTCCCCCCCCCAACAATTAAAGAAAAATGGACTTGCATCATTCAGCATTTATTTTCTTTAGAAACAGCTGAAACTGACCTTTCGATAAGCCCAAGCACATTAGAAATATTAGTGACAAATCATACTCTTGCGACTCTTGCTGTCAATCTATTATCTTGTATGATTTTGTAAATCTATTTACCTTTTTTTCCCCCAATACATTTGTCCAGCTTTTGTCCTTAAACTGTTCTTGATAGTACAACTACTTTCTTATGCATCCTATCCCAAGCCTTCATTGCACATTCAAAAAACATTTAGATCTAGTAACAGAGGCTTGAGCCATAGACATGCAGTTATTAGCAGGGAAATTATGGAAATTGTCGTATTTGTTTGGTTGGTCAGTATCTTTTTGAATGGCCTTGGAAATACAGTAGTTTGAAATGGCCAAGTGATATGGAACTTTAATAAGGTCAACAAATCTGGAACTACTTCATACAGTAGCTGTACTTTTTAAAAAAAATTATTCACACCTAGGTTTTTTTAATTTTCTTTCACTGTCTATATTTTTCAGAAATGGTTATGGTTAGTTATAGGAGAGGCTTTAGCAGCTCAAAAATATATATATATAATGTCTAAAAAATGTTATGTTTGACTCATTTGTTGGATTATAGATTATGTTGAGGGAAAAAATGGATGAGACAAATTGCTTCTGTACAGATTATAGGAAGGTGAATAAAGTGACTAGGCCTGATTCATTTCCACTTTATTTAATGATTCCTGAGGCAATCCAATCCAATATTTTAGTGACTGACAGCTGCAGTAACTGAGGGAGCAGGCTTAGCGAAGGGTCTGTTGGCAAGCAGTGTAACTGCAGATGCTGACATTTATAGCGCCTTTATACATACAGTCCAAACAATTTCTGTGTACCTGTAGTAATTCAATGCGAGCCTGAAGTTGCAGACGGTCCTCTAGATCTTGGCACTGTTTCTCAAGGACCAAAATCTGTTCCTGCAGTTGGTTTCTCTCTAATTCAAGCTCCTCAACAACAGACCTCAAGCCATCTAAACAAGTTAAAAAAAAATCGCATATGTCATAATTTATGCAATTTATCAATTTTCCTTGAACTCTCACCTCTTTCTCCAATAAAAATTTATTTTTTGTTAAATTTTTGTGTTAATCTTAAATGTGTAATGAACAGCATATTTGAGGGCATTCCAGGGCCAGTTTTATGGTGGTCCCACCTTTCTGACTGCAACAGAGGAAAAAGTTTTTGATTGGATTGTGGAGAAATAACACAAACAAATGCCCAGTGCCATCAGATAAAGCTGCTAGGACAACAGACAGACACCTTTCAGAAGACAAAAAGGAAGACCCTTGTACAAGGCATAGAAAGGAGAGGACTTCTCGACGTTGGCCCAAATTTGGTTTCTCATGAACTAACTTCCCATCACCCATCTTAACTCTTACCTTAAGGTTCAGGCCTAAGATTCCTATGGACCTCCAGGTGATAATTTACTATGAACAGCACAATAGCCATAACACACCAACATTAACATTCATGCATTTGGCAGATGCTTTTATCCAAATCGACTTACATTGCATTCAAGGTTGCACATTTTATGAGTTCTTGCTTTCTCAGTGAATTGTTTCTGTTAATAAAGAAGTCTGATAACAAGCAGAGTTGCTATAATTACAGCAAAAATACCAGAGGAAATATCAAAAACAATTTTGGGCATTTGAGTCAATAAGGTTGAGAACCACTGATTTAGATAAAAACATCTGCTAAAAGAATACATGTAAATGTATATTATCAATATGATTTTCTAATTTGGCTCAGACATTGATAATGTTACTTGGATTTTTCATCCTATGCACTTTATTCTATTATCCACTTTAATCCTGACTTAGAATTTCAGTACTATTTATAGCTATTCTTGTATATCTGTTATTACAATTATTTTATTATGTGTCTTCTTTCTGTTGATACAGAACAGTAAGAGGCTTTCCAAGTAGGCTAGAATCTCATAAAATCCTTCAGATAAGTCAGATGATAAATCCTTCCCAATTTACACATTTCTTAATATGATCCACTTGGACAATCATTCTTAGTTGGTGCACATAGATAAAAAAAGATGGGAGATCATCACACTCACACACTTCTAGTGAAGTGTGACCTAAATAACAAGACCAAAAACTGCACACAGAAAACATTTAGAACATGGACAGTGTCTAGTGGGTTTCACACCTGTAACTGCAGCACTGTGCTGGGGCCACCATCCACCCATATTCTCTCCATTCACAAGAACATCGCAATCAGTAGGGCCTATTGGGTCTTGCCTATTATGATATTCCAAGTCCTCCTGTAGAAAGAAATAGAAAAATATTATTATTATTATTATTATTATTATAACAATACATAACTTCTCAAAAAAAAAAATACAAAAAAGTACAAATAATTACTTCTACATGAGTGGTAAAAAACACATCTGCAAATCAGGACCAAAAAATATATATATTAGGGGTGTAACGGTATGCGTATCGTGTACCGAACGGTTCACGGGTAAATTCCAAATGGAAGTGATCATCCCTATCCCCTTGGAGTGGGGACTTTGGAGTGAGCAGGGCACGTGAGTGCCATTATGTAGTGTTTGGAATGCACTTGGCAAATGGAGCTATGTAATTTCCTCATTATCTTCAGCTGGGATGTTCCCGTGACAATGCAGCATGGTGTCCGTCAGCAGTGTAGCGAATCAGCTCATGGGGAAATATGAATAATTAATCATAACTAGTTATAATTAATTATAAATATTTAGATCCGCTGTAGATATTTACTTGACCTCTCAGGGTCAACTGTCTGTCAATTCTAAGAACGTTAATTTCCTGGTTAAGGGAAATAACTTTCTTACTGTACAACTCTACACAGAGCCTGTAGCATAAATCTGCATGATTAGGGACTCCAGTTATGAGCAAACAATGAACAACGTCAAGTGTAATACAAGTAAGACTTTATTAACTACATAAACACTTAAACGAGTCTAACATACTACATAAACACTTAAACTAGTCTAACATACTAAACTGGCGACTGAGGGCAAAGGGTTTTAGTGACTGACTTAAATCATATGGCGTCAAAAGAAATTAATTTCTTAGTTAATATTTATTTTTATTTATCACTTTTATTGTGATTTTAAGTTAACTTTTCAGAACCTTATCATTATATGCTAATATTACTGAATATGGAAGAAAGCAGCATTAATATTCTTCAAACCATTTACTTTGTGTTTGAAGGAAAAAAAGTCATAGTCTGAAATGATATGAGGGTGAGTAAATGATTTTGACTTTCATTTCTGCTACAGCAGATTTCGCTGTTTTAATGTCATAAATGTCTTTTTATTGTTGTTAGCATAACTGTTGCAAATAAACATACATTATATATTTTAAAAAGTTTTTAAAAATATGCTATATAATATATAAAAAATAATATATATATAAAAAATTTTAAAATATGAAATGTATATTTTTTTATGCCGGTGTCCATCAGCGAATCTGCTGACAGACACTGTGTTGCGTTGTCAGGGGAACATCCCAGCTGAAGATAATGAGGAAATTACATCGCTCCCTTTGCCAAGTGCATTCCAAACGACTACATAATGGCACGCACGTGCCCTGCTCACTCCAAAATCCCCACTCCAAGGGGATTCAATATCAGTTACAAAACATGTAAAAGTAATAACCTTTGACTACACTGACAGCCCTTACACAGTGCATCTTCACACACCATGTTTGAACGTAATGCATGCATTATTGAGATTTGAAACTGGCGACTGAGGGCAAAGGGTTTTAGTGACTGACTTAAATCATATGGCGTCAAAAGAAATTAATTTCACACAAGTTAATATTTATTTTTATTTATCACTTTTATTGTGATTTTAAGTTAACTTTTCAGAACCTTATCATTATATGCTAATATTACTGAATATGGAAGAAAGCAGCATTAATATTCTTCAAACCATTTACTTTGTGTTTGAAGGAAAAAAAGTCATAGTCTGAAATGATATGAGGGTGAGTAAATGATTTTGACTTTCATTTCTTTTTTTCTTTTTCTTTTTTTATAAAGCACAATTAAAACAACGTAACGTTGACCAATGTGCTGTACAATCTCTAAATAAAAATTACACAGTATTAACTTTCAGACAAACAATGACCAACGACAACAAATGTTGTAAAAAAAAAAAAAAAAGCCTCTTGCTAATTAGTCTGCAGAACCATACGCTAATTCAAGTAAATGCACTTTCAATTTTCGTTTAAAATAACCTAATGACGGAGACAGTCTGAGATGTAGAGGTAGCTTATTCCAGCGCTTCGGAGCTGCTACTGCAAATGCCTGTTCACCACTCAATT